ACATTCCTAAGCCTTTATAAATTATTCCAAAGATTGCTTTTCAAGACTGGCACAGCACTTTGGACTTGACCACTGTGCTATTCTTACTGTAACAACATAGGCAGACAGGTTCACAAATTACATCATTTCCAAATGTTACTTAGTCTGTATCACTTGCTACATTTTAAAGAAAGTGTCTGATTATAGGGTTAGAATTGGGACAGAGGGTAGGACACAAGCTTAGCATGAGCAAGGCTCTCAATTTAATCTCCTACACCAACAAAGACTAAAAAACAAAAATTAAAAGGGAAAAATACCTGACACCGTGATCACATGCATCTGGAGAGCTATTAATCTTTAACAACTAGACTGGTGTCCCCTTTCTGTATTAAATATGAAATAGGGTTAAGAGATGGCACAGAAGAGAGCTTGCTGCTCTTGCAGAGGACCTAGGTTCAGTTCCCAGCACCCACAGCCACATTTCACTCCAGCTCCAAAGGACCTGATACCTTTTTCTTACTTCATGAATGTACATGTAATTAAGTATATATATATTTTTAATAGGAGCATATAGCCAGGCGGTGGTGGTGCACACCTTTAATCCCAGAACTCAGAAGGGAGAGGCAGGTGAATCTCTGTGCGTTCAAGTCCACCAGGCTTGTGTACAGAGTTCCGGGACAGCCAAGGCTACACAGAGAAACCCTGTTTTGAAAAACAATGGGAGTATATAAATATAATGCATATTTACATGTTTCGTTTTCCTGGCCATGGACTACCTATTCTACCATCTAACTCCTACTCAATATTCGGTGAACACTTACTTGTTGCTTGGTTCTATTAATGTGCCATGGTTTCCTGCTATAATTTTCTTTTTATTTGACACTGAACAATGTTCCAAAAGTAGATGAGCAGCACTGCTTCCTCCTCAGGCCCTAGCTGCAGACTTCCACAGCAGTGTTTCCGTGTAGGAATCCCAGCCAATCCAAGAATCCTGTTTAAACTCCTAACTTGTCCGTAAAATGAATCTTGAAAACCGATAGCAGGCTGTAAATTCAGCATTCACTTAGGAACTATACCAAGGAATGGCTCTGAGACTTACCCTCTCTACTTACAGAAAGGGTCTTGATGCAAATGCATCATTTAGGAAGAATGATTTGTAAAAATAAATTCAATACTTGTCTTGGTTGAAATGTGATTTGAAAAATTAAATATCTGTCTTGGTCTTGTTATCATCCAGGCAAACCTGGCCCTGTCCCTTGGGGACCTGGCAGAATGGTCACCCCTACACTCATAGCAGGCAATACCCTGACTTTGTACACAGGCGCAAAAGGTCCCTTTAAGAGATAAGCTCCATCTACTTTCTTTCTGCCATTTTTCTCAGATGGTAGATAGATCTGACTGTTCTCTCTCTTCTCTTTCCCTTTCCTTCACCCAATAAAACTTCCTTCCCATGTAAGTTCTGTCTGCATGGCGTATTTGGCCCTCACCCACCATAGGGTCTGCCAAGTTTACCCTTGAGTTGCATATCATATCGGGTCTCTATTCTCATAATACAAACATTTTCATGGATTGTTGGAACACAAAACAAAACTTCAATGTGTTATAAAGAAGTGAGTGGTGTTTACTGCAAAACACATGAGGAGTTTAGAAGCTACAAGGTCTCGCTTGAATCTTGGCTGTTCAGTGGCTGGCTGTCATTGAAAGACCCCCCCACAGGGTGGGACCCGGGGGTGACCACTTGGGAATGGGGCGACCTCAATCACCAGGTGGAGGTGGAAACTTGATGCAAACAGCACAAGGCTTTATTGCAGTTGTTTAATGAGCTAACCCCATTTGCTCGGGCCTTTCATCCACCCACCATGGCAGATGGCTGGGGAAAAAGACCCAGAGAAACCCCGGGACAGAGATCTTATAGGGCAGTGTAAGGGGAGTGTGTAGGGGTAAGCACAGGCTCAGGATTGGTGTGCCTCCAGGCTTGGAGGACTTGCCCTGTGTTGATTGGTCAACTGGTTGTTATGGCCCATAGGCCCTCCCAGGGCGGTTGCTATGTTCTGTACATCTCTGCTATGCACTTGTCTGTAAAGCACACCCAGAGCCGTAAAGCATAGCACTACCGGCTAACTTCTGATTGGTTCCTTGCCACAAGGCAGGCATCTGACCTCCTAATGACCAAGGCAAGGTCAGGCAAGCATGTGTTACTGTCATGGCTGCCGAAATGGGGAGCTGGTCCCTTTATCATCTTTGGGCACCGAATGGTACCCAACAAAATTCCTGACAAAATTCCAGCATTTCAACATTTCAGACCACACTTTTATAGTACCTTTTTACTTTCATTTTTAATGATTCTCAATATTAATGCCTTTCCCTTTGGCAAAGTTTGTGTGGGCTTTGGTAAAAGGATTAAAATGTGTACAATGGTGGCTTCTCTAGACAAAATAATTCTTTGGGGAAAAAAATCCCTGCCACCATAGAACCAGCAATTCCACTGTGTCATCCTAATTACACCTAGAACAGGAAAGTTAGAGATTTACTAGACACACCTGATCCCAAGGATGAAATACCCACAATTCAGATTGAGAGCCTGAGACCATGAAGGACAAGAGTTCAGTTAGTAAATACAGAGACATCAGAATAGAACAGTATCATGGGAAAAGACATCAGGACTTTCGCTTTGGGGTGTGTTGTGAGAGGAAGAGACTCATATAGCAAGACTAAGAAAGGGTAGTATAATTGTCTGCTCCCCAGAAGTCCTATTCCCAAGGCCAGGCATTTGGGTAAGGGTCTCCATTCCCTTGGGGGCTTGAGGAAAGTTACTGCTTGATAAAGCAGTCATTCTTAGCGCTAGCAAGAGGAGTTTGTGGCCCTTCATTAACACATGACTGGTGCCTATTGTCAAGGTCAACTTCCTCAACTTTTGATCACAAGCCACAGCCCAGCTCACAAGCCTCATCTCCAGTTTAATCCAATGTGCAACTATACAGTTTAAAAGGTGTAACCTTTTCTCAATAAAAGGCTGCTGGCTGACAACCTGATTCACTCTCAGATTGTGTCCATATACCCTCAGTAACATCCTCTTTGGGACCTGAGACCCCCTGCCGCAGCAGGTCTCAGGCAGGCACCTCCCATTTCCTCATAGGAAAACAGATGCAAATCTTGAAAGCAGTGGTTTTTTAATCAGGGTAACTTTGTCCTTTCCCCCAGGGACATTTGGAGAAAGCCACAGGAATCTTCAGAGTGCACTGAGAAATGGTTGTCTACAGACATCTGTCAGGTCTAATCATCAGAGCTGGTGTGAAACATCGCACTATCCGTTTTCTACAGTGAGTAGAAACTCATCCAGTCCAAAGTATCACTCAGGCCCAGAAGAAGAACCACCACCTTATAACTTGGGACATCCAAATCTGTGTGTAACACCTGCAATAGCAAGCTTCTATTATGGCCACACCTTGTAATAAGAGTTCTACATAATTGTGTCACTTTATTTATACTTCTTGGGCATTTGCCTCGCTTGCCCGAGGCCCTGGATTTCAGGCTCAGTACTGAAAAAGATCAAAATAAGGTAAACCATTCATATTGAAAAGGAACCATTACCGTCACTGTTCATGGATGAAGGAATTTAAGGCTTGGTTAGATAGCAGGCAACATGCCCAGATCATGGTCAAGCAAGAATATAGCCTATACTCAAACCCAGGGCTGTTGTAAGGACTCAGGCATTATGCTGGCCTACTCATCACCTGCCAGAATGTGCTCAGGCGGTATCCTGGTCAGCCCAGGGTTCCATGATTGAGTAGTCTGCACACAGGTGCTAAGGACCCCTTTAAAAGACAGACCACCCCACCCACTTTCGTTCTCTTTCGGCTGTTCCCCTGGGGCAGACAGGACTCTTTCTGTCTCCCTCTTCTGTTGTGTTCTCTGTCTCTGTCTCTTTACCTCCTTTCTTTCCTTCTCCCTGCCCTTTCTAATAAAACTTCTCGCTAAGCTTTGTCTGCCTGGCATGTTTGTCTCCCACCTTGGTCACCCTCACCTGCCATGGAATCTGCCAAGGTTCCCTTGCACTTTATCTTAACAGTTATGATGGTTCTTAACCACCCCCAAACTGAGTCTTAGATCTCTCTCTTCCCGGGCCCTTTTCTCTATTGTGCCGTCTTCCCGGGTCTGGGTGATGGTGAACCCAAGAGCTCATCTTTCTTCGATATCAAAGACAACTCCAATATAAGTCTTTCCCAATGTCACAAGAGTTTCTTCCTTTCAGAATTAAAGCGGACGTTACATGAAAGGCACACTCACTAACATGCATTACTTCTCTAGTTGTAACCTTCAAATTGTAGTCACAGCTGGAGAAATGGTTCAGTGGTTGAGAGCATGTACACACTTCTTGCAGAGGACCCTGGCTTGGCTCCCAGCACCAACATCAGGTGAGTCTCAGTCAGCCACCTGTGACTCCAGCTTCAAGGTATCTGACGCCTCTGGCCTCTTGTGCACATGACTATAATTGGAAACGTCAAAAACTGGTGACTGTGTTCTCAAAACATGAGAATCATGGAATACACTATGACAGAATGTTCTGGTGCTGCTGTTGGGGGGGGGTTTACAGGAGCAGGGATGGCAGAATTTAGGGACATTTGAGGGTCAGAAGAATCATTTGAGAAACTTACAATTTTTCAGAAATCATTCCCCCCCCCAAAAAAAATAAAACCACATAAGGTGAGCTTATATCTCAACACCAGGGAGAGTGAGGCGAGAAGATCGAGTTCAAGGCTGGTCCTAGCTATACAAAGGTCCTGAGACACCATCTCAAGCAACCCATAAAAAGGGACACACAGAAGCTCAATGCAATAGCTAACTTTATTTGTTCAAGAGCTCCTAGTGCAAACATCAGACAAGCCTGGGCTTTGATCTGTGAGCTCCTATCACATGTCAGGGGAGAAGCAAACTGTGACCTACATAAAAGGCTGCAGACTAAAGGCTCACGGTTAGTGACGCTGGAGGTTTGGATTCTACTACAGCCTAGAACCTGGCAGTCACAGGTCTTTCAGGTCCTTCTGGATGTCCCACAGGGTGTCCGCACTCTTCCTGAGCTGAGCGACCTCATCATCCTTCAGCTTCTGGTTGATGACGCTGGTCAGTCCCCGGGCATTGAGGATGCATGGGAGACTGAGGAAGACTTCGTTCTCAATGCCATACATCCCCTGTGAAAGCATTCACACAAGGCATGAGGCCACGGGAAGAATGACCACAAGAGCTATGCTGAATACAAACAACTGTAGGAAGTTCAATAAACACAAACACATTCTCTTATTTTTCACTCAACTGGTTCATATGTCCCCATATATTTGCTTTTTGATGTCAGTTTTATATTTGCAGACTAAGAAAACTTACACTACCAAAAAAAAAAAAAAAGCCTAGTTACAAGAAGGCAGTCAGTACTTAGTGTTTTAGTCAAATATTATTTTCTACTTACATACACTTTGCTATATGAATCTTTAAATGGCTTTCAGTGGTGTCCCTTAATGGATAACTACATGGCAACTCATTTCGTATTTTGTTTTTTAAAATTTTATACTTTTGGTGCCTGGAGAGGCACATGCCTTTAATCCCAGCACTCGAGAGGCAGAACCAGGCAGATCTGAGTTCATGGCTAGCCTATGCAGATCAAGTTCCAGGACAGCCAGGGCTACACAGAGAAACTTGTCTTCAAAAAGAAAAACAAAAAAGATTTTATTTTATTTTATTTTATTTTGTGTGTGTGAGTTTCTGTGTACCGATGAGTACAGGTGTCTACAAAGGCCAGAGAGGGCATCAGATCCCTGGAATTGGAGTTATGATACCCTCAAGAGGTGCCAAAGAAGTTAACTATCTCCCAAACGATCTTTAAACAGGGGGAATTGATTATGGGTCAGCTTCCCTATATAACTAATGGATTAATTATATATAACAAGTTAACTAATGGATTAATTATATATAACAAGTTATCTTAATCTTTAAAACTATTAACCTCAAACATTTTTGTACATACACCAAAGTAGAGAAAATAAAAACATTCTCTATGCATTCCAAAAGTCAACGGATACTCGAGTTTTCCCATACTCACCTTGTAAACTGTCCTTAGTACTCTAAGCCAAACATCTGGTACCATGTTGTACTCCTACACTATTTTTGTATGTATAAGTATGCATGTGTGCATCGTGTTTCAGTGTGTGTGTGTGTATATGTGTGTGTGTGTGTGTGTGTGTGTGTGTGTGTGCGCGCGCGCGCGCGCGCTCGCGTGCGCGCGCATGCACGTGCATGCACGCACACACGCAGAAGTCAGAGGTTGACAGCGGGGTCTTCCTCGATGGTTCTCTCCACTTTATATGTTAAGGCAGGATCTCCCACTTGAACCAAGAGCTTGACAATTCAGCTTCCCAGCCAGCTCATTCTTGGGGATTCCACCTATTTCTTGTAACAACTTTTTCATTCTTGACACTGACATGTGAACATGACACACTTGCTACATATGCTGTCTTGCTATAACTTTACTTTTGTTCAATGAATTTCATTCCAACGAGATGACATAGCCCAGGTTCATCTCATACTTGCTCTTGGCCGAGGATGACTTTGAACTTCAGATCCCTTTGTCTCCACATCCTCAGTGCTCAGATTACAGATCTGCACCACCGCACACGATTTAAGCGGTGCTGGGGAATCAAACCTAGGACCTCAGGCATGCTAAGCAATCACTCTTCCCACTGAGCTACATCCCAGCCCCTGTTCTTTTTGCATCTTTTGTATATTTGCTCTATAGTTTTTGAATTAAGCTAGATTTGCTAAGTTATCACGTGTTCCATGAAAGGCTGTCTATGGTTTATTACATAAGCTTAAGATGAACCTCATATATGTTTATTTAATGGTACAGTAGAGGCAAGTCCTGACAGGATTCACAGTTAACAGTTTTGACAACACACAAGGAAGACTTCTTAGAAAACGTTCAGAGAGCATAGCTCCTACAATGTTGAGTGTCCTTGGCCTAGACTTAGGTTGGAAAGAGGAAACCAGGCTTAAACAAACCCAGAATGTGAGCTTAGGCTTCCCCTCGTCTCTTTAGATGTATCTCTTCACACAACATAAGACCAGACACTGTACAGCAGTTTCTCTCACCTTCACCATTGTAGACACAGGGTGAATCCGAGATAGGTTTTTCAGCATGGATTCAATGAGGTCAGCCACACTTAACCCAATGGCCCAGTTTGTGTATCCTTTTAGCTTGATGACTTCATAGGCACTTAGAAAAATAAAACATAAGAGATCACTGGACCTGACACTGGGTTGACACCTGCTCTGTCTCTGATGGTTATCTTGGCCATTTATTTATTTATTTATTGGCTTTAGTTCCTTTTCTTAGTAAAGGAGAACACACGCCTGTTCTATTAAGCTTTTTGTGAACATCAAGTGAATTAATGTACAAATAAAATCTGTAAAAGTGTCAAACAGGTGACATATAAGTGGTCAGTGAATGTTTTTGAAGTCACAGTGATTAAGAATTTAAGAATTTTTTAAATTATGTGTATGCATTATGTGTCTGTATTTCTGTATGCTCATGTGGATGCATGTGAACATGAGTGCCAGTATCAAGAGGCCAGAGGTATCAGATGAGCCCGGAGCTGGAGTTATTGGCAGTCATGAGCCACCCAATGCGGGTGCTGGGGACTCAACTCCAGTCCTCTACAAGAGCAGGACACACTCTTAGTTGATAAGGCTTCTCTCCAACTCCTTAGACCATACATTTTCAACCAATATTGATTTACATAAAAGTATTATTACCAAATATATTAATGAACTCAGGAAACAGTGAGAGACAGGAGAGGCCATCAAGGTGTGTAATCTTCTCACTCATGAAATCAAAACATCGTGTAAACTGAAAACTCTAAGGACTTTTTCAACTTTCAGATTTTCTTTAATACACAAGTCAAATTCTCCCAAAGAGTCATTCTAAGTAAAACTTCCACATTTGAGGTAGTAATTTCCCTGCAAGAACTTCCCAAATAGTAACACCGGTTGAATGCTTGTCAGTGATAAGTCGTGGCCCTGTATGTGATGTGTAGGTTCATTTCGACAAGTCCACAGGGTCTTACACTTCACACAACTAATGGGCTCACAGAGAATGTGATTGTGGATGACTATAACCTATACTCAGTGCATCTCGAAGAAGAAGGGTCACAGATAATCTTGAAGCTTAACTGGCTTCTGGCAGCTTGAGTGTCAGGACTGGAGTCCAAGCCTGCATTATGAGCTGCATTTCAAAGTGATGCATTATTTGGGGCAGAACAATCATAAAAGAGAAAGTTGGTAACAAGAGACACAGTTTCAGCAAACAAGACTTGGGTGGGAGATATCTCCAACGGGGTGGGTGGGGGTTGGGGGTAGTAAGACCAGTGCTGCTCAAACACTTCAGCAATCTGCCTGAGTGTGTGTTCCTGTGGTTATGTGACTTACAGGCTCCAGGTTTACCTTATTCATTGACAGGTGACAAGGTGAAGGTTCCTGTCACTAGGAAACTCCAAGTCTGCCTTTATAGCTGGTTTTCTCTTTGAGAAAACACACAGCAAGTCTGACTGGTCTAAATTAATCCTGCCTACTTCTCAAGGACAGAGTCATGAGGCGAAGAGTTCTCCCCGAGCAGGCGGTGTGGGGACAGCCATGACTCACGGAAATGCGGTCACCGCCGCTCACCTGTCCACCACCATCTTATGTACTTCCTTCCAGTTCTCACTGTCATTGTCCGTTCCCATTTCTGGGTTCAGTTCCTGGAGGGAGACTCCTGCCACATTCACCCCACTCCACACAGCCACTGTGAAAACAAAAACCAAACAAAACTTGCTTTTCCTGATCTCAGATCTCAACTCCGAAGCAAATATCCCAATATCAGTTGGTACCGTCCAGTGGCAATCGTCTGCAGTCAAGCTCTCATCCCCTCCGGGGAGATATTTGTTCTGACATTGGCCTTCAACTAGCAACAGATCGGACCTTCTAAACACATCTTTAAGTAAAGCATACATAATCACTGTGAATTTTGTGGATGGGCATGTGCAGGTAGCTGCCCGAGGAGCCCAGAAGCGAGAGTTGAACTGACTGGTGCTGAAGCTGAGGCAATTGGGGGCCGCCTGACGTGGGTGCAGGATCTGAACTTGTGTCCTCTGCCTTCTCGCACAGCGGCAAGTGCTCTCACCTGCTGAGCCGAAACTCCATCCCCTACTACTAACCTTGTAACTTGCAAAAAATGTGGCTCAAAACAGTCATTGCATAATTTACAGAGAACGGCATGAAATTCTTTCCAAATCTCTAGGTTTGTAAAAAAAAAAAAAAAACACAAGAAATTATAGTTTGGGACCATTCTAAACCCTCAATTTTAGAAATATAAACTTCTCTACTGGGGACTGATTGGTAACAAAAGCCCCTTTCTTTTTAAGAAAAAAAAAAGGGGGGGGAGGGAAACTAGGATACTTATACTCAAATACAGTTACTACAAAAGTGTACTAAAAAGTGATTCAAGGTCTTTATAGTTTAGGGGAGAGTGTCTACAAACAAACATGGGACCTGGACTTTGAAAGCCCAGACTCTTGCTCCTTAGGGACTTCTGGAGGACAATGATGGCTCACGGTATGAACGGTATGAACGAGGGCTCAGGTATATTACACAGCTACAGCAGCTAAACCGCTGGAGGCCACATAAGACCCCCTGCTGTTCCAGGCTAACTAGACATCCTTGTGTCCTTTAAGGGAAACCATGGATCTAATTGTGCCCAAGCAAGAATGGCTTCTCTCTCATTCTGGGTAAATACAGGTCAGTAAGGAAATAGGAACAAAACTGCCCTAGAATAAAAATGGCACAATCACGAGAGAACAAAGCACTTCACATCCACCTGAAAACATGGCAGAGGCAGCAGAGCCGACTTTCCCCACCTGCGCAATACTTGTCTGGAAGGGTGTGAACCTAAGCTAACTATTCAAAACCAGACATGGATGGACATTCATGCTCCAAATGTCAACACCATGAAAACACACAGATCAAGAACTGCCCCAGACTAAGGGAGACCCAGGAAACAGAATGAGAAACAATTCATGATGTCAGGATGGATCCAGATAGGGGATAAGGCCCATAGGACGTCAGAGGGTGGCACTTGCAAATGGCCTGTGGATTAAATATGGGCTCAGTGTTACATTTCCTGATTTTGCTTCCTGTACTGTGGTTATGAAAAAAAATTTCATAAATAAATAAATCCCTAGGTGTGGATCCTAGCAATCAGGAGACAGAGGCAGGAGGGTCAGAGTTCAAGGTCATCTGCTACCTGGGAGTTTTAGGCCAACCTGGACTACATGAAAACCAAAAACAAAACCACAGAACAAAGCAAAGCAAGGAGGAAGAGGAAAAGGAAGAACAGAAAAAATCATACATGAAAGGATTTAGTGAGAAAACACGATGGCTGTGACTCGTACTTAACGAAGATGGCAAATACAGTAAGATGGTTCAGCAGGGAAAGGTGTTTGCTGCCAAGACTGAGGACCAGAGCTTGGTCCCTGGTACCCTCGAGACCGGCGAAAACCAACTCCCGAAGTTGTTCTGATTTCCACATGTGTGTGGTGTTCACACAGATATTTTTAAGAATAGCTAGATGCAGTTGGGTATGGTGGCACACACCTTTACTCCCAGCACTAGAGGCAGAGGCAGTGGATCTCTGTGAGTTCAAAGCCAGCCTGGTCTACATGGCAAATTCCAGAATAGCTACATGGCAAGTTCCAGAGTTACACAGTAAGACCCTGTCTGCAAAACAACAAAAGATAGATGGCTGACTGGCTGGATGGAGACAGAAAAGGCAAATGGGAAATACAACCCAAAATACTACTTTTGAATCCCTTCTGAAATAGAGCTAAGTGTATAAAACTAAAATTTGAAATAAAGCAACATTAAGAAGAGTCTGCTTAACCCAGAGGCACAAAGGAAACTATTTTTCTTACCGCTGGAGTCGCCATGTTCGCCCAGAATCCATCCATGGCAGCTGCTGGGGTGAATGCCAAGCTTTTCAGCCATGAGGTAGCGAAAGCGAGCCGAATCCAGATTGCATCCACTTCCAATCACACGGTGCTTAGGCAGCCCGCTCAGTTTCCAGGTGACATAAGTAAGGATATCCACTAAATAGTGTAGAAAAAAAGGAAGCAAATTGGAATTGCTGAACCAATTAGAAGGCGCTCTGGCTTCTCCCTCCCCACATGCCCATCTCTCGGTGAGATACGACCTGAAAGAGGTACGAAATTTAACTTTTCACACCCAGGTTCAGACAAATAACAATGAAGCACTTATAAAGAAATTGTGAATATGAAATATGTAAACGCTGCATAGGCATCATTATTGGACCTAACACTTAGAAACTTCACAAGTCAATGAGCTTTACCCTGAAAGAAAGGAAAAGGACTGCTGCAGACCTCACTGTGATGGCTTGAGTAAGAAAGCCCCCATAGGCTCATGTATTTGAATGCTTAGTCACCAAGGAGTGATTATGGCCTTGTTGGAGGAGGTGTGGCCTTGTTGGAGGAAATACGTCAGTGTGCAGTGGGCTTTGAGGTTTCAGAAGCCCATGCCCAGGCCCAGGCCCAGGCTCCCTCTCTCTGCCTAGGGATCAGGATATAGAACTCTCAGCTACTGCTCCAGGGCCATGTCTGCCAGCATCCTCTGAAACCGCAAGCCAGCCTCAATTAAATGAGTTGCCTTGATCACGGTGCCTCTTCACACAGCAACAAAACACTAACATACTCAGACTGCCGCCAATAACAGTCTGTGATTGTGAAGGCTGTCCCCACAAACAAGGCCACTTCTAAGTTAGCAAGGGGTGCCAGTATACATCTTCTTGAGTATGATATTGTCAAATAAATTATCATGAAATTCATGTCATTACTATCTCATGGCTGGACAACTGCTATGTAACTAACCTTCATCCCATGTGGCTCGGTGGTAAAACTTTTCTGGGTCACAGAAGTGACAGGCGATGTTGGAAAGAAAAGGAAACGCAGACTATCAGAAAGGAAGCCGGAAGTGGGTCTGGCGGCCCCCACCCCTGCACTCCTCTGTGGAGCAGAAGGTACTTTAAACACACTTGACTGGATAATGCCTTTGTATGCCAACTTTAATGCACCAGAAGTGGTTTCCTGGAGAATCAGACTTGGGAGGTCTGCCTTGGAAGTGATGTCATCAGTCAGTGACAACAGAAACAGGATGTGGAGATGGAATACGGCTAGCTGTCTGCCATTTCTATTCTACATCTACCTAGTGTGTGTTTACATACACGACTGAACCACTCAGGAAGCCCCAATCTATACTCATAAAAATGAGGATACAGAAATGATCTCTCGGGTCCTAACTCCCAGGACTAAAGGAACTGCAATGATTTCCCAGGCTTAGTCACAATCCTCCAGGGGAGGAATCAGAAACGCTCTACCATTGTTATCAGCATTCTGTCTATGGTCACCACCATGCAGTAACTTTGATGATAAACTATAGACCAAAGACACGTGACCCTGAAATGGGAGACATAGCCCAATGGTAGAATACTTACCTGCCCTGCAGTTCCATGCCCAGTACTCATGACAAAATACAATTTACTCACAAAACCTTAGACTGTCTTCAGAAAACTTTCTTATAAACAAAGAAAAAAGGCTAAGGCGAGAAAATGCCAAACAAACCCAAGCTGGGCCACTTCAAAGTTATTTTCCATGCAAGATGGTGATAGAAAAATAAAAAGGGGAAATAATTGATACCGGTTTCTAAGAGATGATTCTGTTTTTAAAAAGTTGTATTTATTTTTACTGTATGTGTGCTTATCTGCCTATTTGTCTGTGTACCACGTAGACATAGAGCAGGATAAACCTATCCATAGAGTCCAGAAGAAGGCATCAGGTCCCCCAGAACTGCAGTTTCAAATATCTGTGAGCGGCCATGTGGGTGCTGGGAACTGGACCTGGGCCCTCTGCAAGAGCAGACAATGATCTTAACCACCAAGTCATTCTCTCCAAGCCCCTTCATCCCGATTTATCAGTTTAAGTGAATGGCTCAGGGGCAGCTTGGTGGTGTGGGCTTTGCTTTGTGAACCCACTGACTTTTATCCTGGCCAGCTGGAGCTCAGTAGAGGCTGGAAACAATGTGCTCGTATATTTGTGAGCACCAGAGATCCTCCTGTCTCCTTCTCCCTGACATTTCACGTGGATGCTGGAGATCCAAACCCAGGTCCTCATGCTTTTGTAACATGCGCTTTACAGACTCATCCCCCAGCTCCACCTTTAGAGTGTATGCAAATGCCTTCCAACTCTACAACAGAGGAAACAAAAAGACGAAACCCCACAACATAAAACCCATTCTTAAACATTTGTCCTAGGATGCAGCCATCTCTTTTGCAAACACCATCTTTCTGTGCCAGTAACAGAAGACATGTGGATCACCTCTGTCAGTGAACAAACCCGAAAAGATGCCCAAACGCTGAAGCAGACAGGACAGACCAGACAGGCCGCTGTTAGAGCACAGAGTTAGTACCTGGGTTGGAAACCACAATGATGGTGCAGTCGGGGCTGTACTTGATGATCTGAGGAATAATGAACTTGAACACGTTGACATTTCTCTGCACCAGGTTGAGCCGACTCTCCCCCTCCTGCTGGCGGACTCCTGCAGTCACCACCACAATCTTAGAATTGGCTGTCACGGAGTAATCTGGAAGAAAAATGGCAAGAGATGGGGCCTTAAAGTCAACTTCTAGAACATACAATAGATGGCATGTTTGGCCAAGAAGCTTCACCACACATAAGCTTCCAGAACTTATGAGAACTAAATTTTTTGTATTAAAAGTCTGTGCTTTTTAAAAGGTGTGTGTGTGTGTTTGAGTATGTGTAGATCAGTGTATCAGATCTTCTGGAGCTGGAGTTGCAGGTGGTTGTGAGCAACCCGACACAGGTGATATGGACGGAACTCAGGTCCTTTGGAAGAGCAGTACACACTACTTAACCACTGAGCCATTTCTCCAGCCTCTATTTATTAAAATATTTTCAGGTTCAAGCTTCTGCGGCTTCCTTTTTCTTCCTTGAGGGACAATGAAGCAACCCCACTTTAAAGCTGGCAGATAATGAACCAGAGAAATACCCTAAAATGTGTGTGTGGCTAAGAAGCTATTGGATTTCCAGGAAAAGCCAAAACATGCCATCGAGCCCACAGCCCAGCAGGCAGGCTTTCTATGATTGCCCAGAAATTGTTCTGCACATTCCTGTTAGTAACACGGAATACAGACAAAACTCAATTCTAAGTTTCTCTTCAGCCATGCAATGTTACTGAAGTCTGTGAAGGAAAAGAAAGGCAGTGTTTGGCTTTGATTGCAAACCAGATTTCCGTTTCTAATATTTCGGTATTAAGGGATGGGAAATACTTCTAATGCCAGCACTCAGGGGGCAGTGGCAGAAGGACTGCCATGAATTCAAGGCCAGCATGGGCTACAACCATATATGTCTAAAGTATGTAAAGGCACTGTGCAGCCCTGTCTGGCTTAGAACTCACTATGTAGACCAAGCTGGCCTAGGAACTGCCTGCCTCTGCCTCCTGATTGCTGGGATTATAGCTGTGCATCACCACACCTGATTACAACATTTTTGATAAGGAAGATTATGTTCTAGTGGTACTAATTTTTGGAGAAGATTTTTGATACAATCAGCTAATTCTTACCCAACAGCTCACTCGCATCACTAATGCAGTCTATTAATGGTCTTTCCCCATAAAATGCAGGGAATGGTCCATCTCCAACTTACTGACTGTGCTCTGAAGATGAAGATGGAACTCCAAACCCAAACACCTGACGAAGGACTCCGAATGCTACTCTTCAGTAAGTAACGGCCATTATCTAGTTTCTTCAAGGCAACCAGTCCTGGGGCACGGTAGACAGGAAGAAACTACAACACTGCATTTACCAAAACAGGAAAATGAAGGGAGCTGAGGAATGAGAAGATGGTTCTGGGACGGATGAAATACACAGCTTACTTGAAAATTGAACAGGCATTGGTGCGGTTTTATTGTTTTGTAAAAAGCATATTTTAAAGATGATTAAAAAAAGAATACATTCAAATTTTACTTCAGAAAAAACTGTGCTGCCAGGTGCTGCACTGTACACCTACAACCCCGCAGTTAGGAGGGGCCAGCCTCAAGGGCATAGTGAGCCTGGAGTCCATGAGATCTGTCTCCGCAGACAAAGTGAACAAAAAGCACATGCTTGTGAAAGAAGGCTAGCAAAGATGGCCGTTGGTATTGGCACGCAGGACCACATCCTACAGGGGCTCTCAAGACAGTAGGTTCACACGCTGTGTGCATCAGTAAGCAGAAGCTCCAGAAAAATGCTTTTTAGGAACTGATGCTGAAAAGTTGGCCTGTCCGAGGAAGATGCAGATGGTAACAGCATCACACATCACAGCCTGCAATTCTCTCCTGCTGATTTAGAGACACAGAGATGGAAAAGAATCTCATTTTAAAATGACAATACATTCTACAAGAAGTAGAAATCAGTACAAATTAAAAAAAAAAAAAGTCCAGGTGTTGATGGCGCACGCCTTTAATCCCAGCACTCAGGAGGCAGAGGCAGGTGGATCTCTGTGAGTTTGAGGTCAGCCTGGTCTACAGAGCAAGTTCCAGGATAGGCTCCAAAGCGATACAGAGAAACCTTATCTTGAAAAACCAAAAAAAAAAGGGGGGGGGACCATTTCTAAGTAGATGGAAATTTTGTAGTATATGAAATTACTAAAACCTGTCATTAGCAATTGCTGAAACAATTGGCCACAATTACAACTTTTCTTAGTTAAACAAACAAAAAAATAGTTTTAGCTGGGTGGTGGTGGTGCACATCTTCAATCCCAGCACACTGGAGGCAGAGGTAGGTGATCTCAGACTTCGAGGCCAGCCTGGATTACAGAGTGAGTTCCAGGACAGCCAGAGCTACACAGAGAAACCCTGTCTCACAACCAAACCAAACCAAACCCAAAACAAAGAAAACTTAGGATAGAGTATAGTGCAGGAATACATCGAGTACTCCTAGCATTCTGCAAGGCCCTGGGTTTGATGCACAGCAACACAAGCAGTTAGTTTGTCATGCTGGAGAGTGCACTCCATCTCTGTTACAGAATTACTTCCACATAAGATCCCTTGGAGAATGCGAAGAGACTGCCTACCTTTATCCGCCACAATCTTAGGAGTCTTAAGAAACAAGCTCCCGTGCTGCAGATCCATCATCTCTCCTTTGAGCTTGTCTTCCAAGACATCCACAAGGGCAAGTTCATCAGCTAGAGACTAGAAAGACAAAAGCAGGCATTCATTCCTATCAGGGTTGGCATATGAAGTCTCCCACAGGCTCTCGGTTCCGAACACACAGTTCCCAGTTGGTGGTACTGTCTGGGGAAACTGTAGCACCTTGAGGACACAGAGCCTCATGGGACAAGTGGGTCACTGGGGACAGGGTTCACATTATAGCTGGCTTTGCTTCCTGCCTTGTCTTTGCAGCCTGATCTACAAAGATACAAGCAAGCATGCCTTCTCCGTGTGTCTGTGAGGGAAAATAGAGCACCTACTGATTTGAATTGCCCACCAAGTGTTTGATTACACAAGGAAGGCTTAGCACCAAACTACCCTAAAAAGGCCTTTCACAGAAGGCTAAGCACCCAATGGCTAAAATCCTCAAGAACTTTGGTGTTTGGTACTCAATGACGATTCTAGAGAAAGACACAAAGATCCCTCATGAAAGTAAGTCGGCTCAATAAAAGACACAGACGAGAGAGCAGGTCTCCACATTATGCAACGAATGTGCACATACTTGAAAACACATATGAGAGAGACAGAAAGACAGGCAGGCAAAGACTGACTCAGGAACAACATTAGCGGTGTGTTTTGAGGTCATCATAATTCAGAGAGTAATTCTGGGAGAGTAATCAATCCAACTTAAATCTCCAAGGGCGAGTTCAGGTTGGAGCTGAACTTGAACCATAGAATGCTTAGCTTGGTTCCGAGTAGCTAAATGCCTTGGCAGGAAAGGCAGCCAACTCTTAGGATTCAGAGTCAGCCCTCGGGAACCAATCCCTAAGCACAGGGAGAGGTGACAGCTCTGTCTCCAATATGGACACAAAATTTCACCTACTTTATTTAAACATGTTTGAAGAAACTTTGAAAGCGGTTTTGTTCTTTTGCATGAAGCATCTGAGAGCCCACACACCCTCATTTGCATTTTTAAGTCCTAAATTAACACCTTCTCACCTAATAATAACCTAACATTCTGCAACAACAACCCTGTCTTTTAGTAACGGCATTATGTGAGCCACTGACGTCAGCAGGGCAACACCGTCTAGTGCTTATACCAAAGAGCACGTCACTGGATGTCAGTGCTTCCGTGTCAGTGGGTGTAGAGAATTAGCTTCCAAGTGCATGCCTGACTGAAGGAAGGAGGGGCGTCAACACCTAAAATAAAGAGAGCTGATTATAGCTCAATGTGTATGAGGCACACAGTCTGTGAGCAGCCACACAGAGTGCACGACCAAGGACTGAAGCTGCTGAATGACTCAACCTCCGTAACGGCATCTCCATAGCTCACGCATTTACTTCTAATATAAATACATCGATAAGGAGCCGGGCCAGTTGGAAGCCAAGAATGTTACTGTAGAAATCTTTTAACCTCAAGTCCCGAGTGGACCAGATTTGGTTGTGGATCCTGCCTCCTAGTTCATAATGACTGACATCAACCCGTTGGTATTTGATGCCAGCATTTTTATATTCAAGCATTTGTTAAGCATGAGATTTTTTGTGGGAGGAAAAGATATAACTTGGCAAATAATTAACCAGATGGGGAAGTACCATTCACTAATTTGCATTTTGAGTTTGTGCTAGCCTAGGGATATGCAGTAAAATAATCCGGGCATCAGCCGGCCGGCCAGCCGTGGGCTGCAGGATCCAGGGTTACAGCTCCCTCCAGGGTCCTGTGCGGCTGTGGCACTGGGTGGGTTATTTGCACTAAATAAACCCATTGTTTTGTGGTGCTGAGGAACTGAACCCAAGGCCTTGTGCTCTGCAGGCATGCTCTCTACCTGAGCATATTTTATCTCTATTGTCAACTTGAGAGTTCACTGTCACATGGTGGTATAGCCTGATGGGGATGTCCTTCTGTATCTAAGTTTCTCTCATTTGTTGATGAATAAAACACTGATTGGCCAGTAGCCAAGCAGGAAGTATAGGCGGGGCTACCAGATGAGGAGAAATGTAGCCACAAGAAATAGGACACAGGGCATTCTCCGTTAAGCCAAGACCACGTGGAAATACTTAGCTTATTAGAAATGGGTTAATAATTGAGAGAGAGCTAGCCATTAAGAAGCCTGAGCCATCGGCAAAACATTTTATAATTAATATAAGTCTGTGTGTATTTATTTGGGACTGAAAGGTAGAGGGGCCATGTGGGAAAGAAACTCCATCTACAATAGCCATCTGTGCAGCTCTTATTTCTGCAGCTGTGTGACAATGGTGCCATCATTTCTCCTGCCTCTGTCACTTTGTCTTAAAATAAGGATAAGAAAAGTTCTCTATTAGGAGTGTGTGGTGGTACAGGCCAAGAACTACAGCACCTGGAAGTCTGAGCTGATGCAAGGAGAACTGCCATGAGATGGAGACCCCCACAGCAAAACAGTAACAACTACCCCACACACAAAAAAACATTGTGTTTTTTCTATCCGTTATTTAGAATAAAGCACTTTAATAGTACTGTGCATGGTATATTTGTGATTTGTATTTATTTTTAAAAGAAATGTAAGCTCAACTGTTTTTGTTCTGACCAAAGGAAGAGTGGACGCTAAATTAAAACTATTTAAAACCCCTATAGTTCAAGGAAACTATCACAAATCATAGGTATCCAGTCAATGAAAAATAGCTAGAAAAACAGGTACAAGAATACAGTACATACACACTGATGGGTTCTTTGAATAACTATTTCTCAATTAAGAGTCAGAATTTGACCCTTTAGAATGCAAAATGTACACACCGGAGCAATGGCTCTGAGATTAAGAGCACAGGCTACTCTTGCAGAGGAACCAGTTTAGATTCCCAGCACTCACCTGGTGGCTCACAACCATCCATAACTCCAGTTCCAGAAGATCCAACACCCTCTTCTGGCCTCTTCAGGCATGAATGCACATACATTCAGGCAAAACATCCATACACACAAAGTAAATAAGAAAGAATTTTATGTTTGGGGTCAGGTCTTGTGGCACTTCCCACAATGCCAACATTCAGGAGGTGGACACAGGAGGGATGATAAGTGTGAGGCCAGCATGGGATACACACACACACACACACACACACACACACACACACATACACACATCTCAAAAGCAATAAAATAAAAAGGCTGGGAACGACACAACCCAGGGATTGAATTGTAGAACGCCCGCTTGCTCAGCATGCAAGACAGTCCTTGTGCTCAGCCCCTAACAAAACAACCACCACCAACCCTTAAACTTCACAATCAGAAGGAATATGCTTGGTCAGAGGTATTCTGGAAGCCTCCACACAAAGAGTCAGTGTGCTCTACAGCGGGGGAGGGGCTGCTCGACTGCCTTCTCTCTTCCTCAGAGTGAGCAAGGCCTCATCACTAAAGTCAGAGAAGCAAGGAAAGAAACTGGTGTGAACCATGACGGGTTATCTGTAAGGGCAGCTGAGAATCTAGAGGGGTAGACAGCAAAAGGAATGTCAAGTCTAGGGAAACTTATTTCCAAGTAAAGGCACAGGTTCAAAGTTTGAGAATAGTAAGACATTCTTTCAACAAGCCACTCTACAAAAAAATCCCTTCAGAAGAAAAGGCAGAGAGACCACTGCATCTAAATTTTCCAGTCACTCATTCAGCCACAGGCTTCAGTTTATCACCATAGAAACAAGGCCAGTTATCATGTTTCACCTCCTGATGTGGTAACCACCCAACAGATACAACCAGATTAACCACAAGGAAACACCCACAAGGCATACACCGAAGAGGATGCTCTGAAACTGACCTGGACCACTAGAAAAAATGTCAAAGGCTTGCAAGACAGAAAAAGAGGCGTAGTAAGGATATAGAACACATGTCTTAGATTGAGGAAAAAACCAGCTATAAGTGGTATGATGCTGACAACATGGAGAATTTTAAGTATGAATATGGTGGGGGACACCACACTACAACTACAGTAGTGTTAAGAAATCCCTGGATGTAGCTCCAGGGTGGTCACACAGAGCGACCAGAATTCTCGGATATATGAACAAGTACTAACAGGTAAGTGTGACCCTACAAGCTATCTCAGGTTGTTGAGTGTCTAGAAACAACCCCGATCCTAGGCTGTGCAGACAGAACATGCCTTCCTGCAGGAATTGTGACCTCTGTCGCTCTTCAAACATACCTTTCCCAGAATGCTGATAGCACATGCCATTCCAACTTGTCCGACACCTACTACGGTGATCTTGTTGTTCGGGAGGGCTGTGTCCTCTTCTGTGACTGGGGCAATGAGTTTTTCCTTAAGGGTTGCCATGTTGTCCTACAAGAAAAGGGCGATCAATGCATCTTCCGTGAGTAGACTCAGAGAGAACCAGCCTCAAACCACACAGCTTCAATCCCAAAGTCAAGTAGAGCACAAGAGCCTCAGGGTAGTGTAAGTAGAGTATTTGAGGGAACCGCATCTCATTTAACGGAGGATTTAATCAGAGGAAATTTCTCCAGGAGCTTAAAATAAAATTTCTTCCCTGAGCAGAGGACTCCATGCAAGCAATTAAGTTGTCATCATCACTCCTATGACCTTTTTGTTGTTGTTATACAACAACTGCTCATTACTAGCTAAAGGATAGGGATATTTATACTTACGCGAATTTCTTTCCTTTGTCCCTATAAGGAATTTATGTGCCACCATGTTAATCAGCTAACTTATAGTTAAGCTTTTTAAAAGTCAACGTAAATGATTATAACTTCCATTATAAATGGTTACCTTCACTCCTGGAGGACAAAGACTTGAGTTTTGCACTTTAAATCACATCAAGTTGCCTTCCTTCCTTACAGGTTTCTTCTTCACAAGTACCAGATTTAGTAATCTATGCTGATTGCTTTAGCCTGGTCCTCTTTAGCTATCAGCTGAGGCTCCCTCCCTTTCCACAGCCCATCCTGCTCTTTCTAAAGCCTGGGTTTTCACTTCTAACCTGTGAAGGGTTAAGTGACAAAACCTAGCTTAGTGGACTGCCCTTGGCTGTCCTGAATGAAGAACCCGGGGTCAAACACACTGTTTTCTCCCCTAACTTGTTTTTGCTAGTTTAAACCTTTCCCCCAATCTGTAGCACTGAGGTTACCTTGCCTGGTGGACACAAAGGTGAAATGCCTCTGAAGGGCTTGGACGTAGCGCTGACCTTAGAGTGAATTCAAACAGAGCCTGTATTGTAAGCGGCTTCAACAGAGTCAGAAAAGCACAGCCTCCCCAGCTCCTGCCCACATCGAGTTTATTTTTGTTAGCTGGCTTAAAATCTGGTAGGTAGGTTCCAGAAAGCTTTGAAAGGCCCGGAATCCCAGCGTTTGGGAAGTGGAGCAAGGAGGCTCAGGAGAGGTCAAGGTTACCCTCCATTACACAGGGAAATCTAGAGATCCCCGAGATCCTCCTGCCTGCAAACAAACAATCCGAAAAGGCTATCTCCAGCTGGACTGTCCTGGAAACACTTGAAATTAGTTTGGGTAATTTCAAAAGCGACACTGTTGAAGATCCAGCAAGCACAGGCAGACTCCGAAATCTAGACAAAGTACATACTCTCCTCCCCCAACGGTGGTAAAAAATGAGAAGGAAACAGTTTGCATTGTAGTAGGCCTGCGTCAAATCAGAGAGCCGACTGTAGGGAGAGAGAAATAAGAGGGCGAAAAAAAACAAAAACAAAAACAAAAAAAACCCCACCGCGTCTCAGGGTCGGAATCCCAGGAGATGGAAATCTCCTGTGGAGATGAACCATTAGACAAGATCCAGTGCCCTACGTCAGGGGCTAAGGTCCACTGCGCAGAGTATCTTCTATGTAAACTGTTAATGCCCAGGTTTTGCCTCGAATTCCCTCACTCAAGCAAGCCAGCGCTCCCACCCTAGGTCCTGATCCGGGCTCGCTCGGTTCGCAACCCACAAGCCACCTCTCCTGTGCAAAGCAGGTCACAAGGGAGGCGGCGGCGCACGTCTTGAATAAAGTCTCCGGAGGGCGAGTCTAGGCCTTCCACCCTGAACACAAGAAGTAAACAAAACCCTAGGGCATCCAAGGGCCCAGCAAGCGCCGGTACCCGGCTGCAGGGCGGGCACCCTGAGCCGGGGATGAAGCCTGAGTCCAGGACGGAACTTTGCTTTATCCCCATCCCTACAAACGCAGGGACCTTTCTCCATCACCAGGGGCAAGACCTTCCAACCTTCACAGGGCTCACCTGGTCCCTCCGGATTCCCCGGCATCTAGGCGCGGATTCCCAGGCGGCACCCCAGCAGGTGGGTGAGGCGCCCACCACCTGCCGACCGAGGTCGATTTACACCTGTCCAAGTCTCTCTCTTGACCGCACACAGGCCCGAGACCAGCCTGCAGGGCGCAGACCCATCCCGGAGTTCTGCCTCCGCCTCCTGCCCACCTCTGCTCCCTGGGCTGGCCGCCCAAAACCGCCAGCAAGCAACATGCTGGAGCCGGGATGCTCAGGGGCAAAGGCCCCAGGGGGTGGACCAGTCGCAGCTGCGTCCTGCTGTTCCGCCAAACAACCAGCCCTCCGCTCCCCACCCCCAACACACACCCTGTTGTTGTGCGAGGTAGGCTTTGGGGTCCCGGACTCAAACCTACCGGAAAAGAGAGAGAGCTCTGCACGGTGGTGAGAAGGGAAACTGCCGCAAAGTCAGCAGACTGCACCGCCGACCCTAAATCTGCAAGGAGGAGGAGGAGGCGGGGCTCGCCGCCCTCCAGCCTCCCAGCTTTCTCTATTGTGATTGGAAACCCGAGCCGGCTCTACCCCTCCCCTCGGCTCGCTCAATCCCCTTCAAGGACAAGGCTGGAGCAGGCCCAGGCTCTCCTCCGCTCTCTCAAGTTGGAGGTCACCTTCTGGCAGCCGCCGTATTCTCGCATTTTGAGGGCTGGCCCTCGCGGGGGGGAGTTACCGCCTAAACCTGCCTTTCAGGCCCTTCTGGACCGTCCCCATCTTGCGCAAATAGAAATCTATGTCTAGATTGCATTTGGACCCAGTCTCCTCGGTTAAGATGCTCCTGGTCCATCACTCAGAAAGGACTCCGTGATTATGAACTCTGTCAGAACTTGCGTCAGAGCAGGGTCTTGCAGGTGTCCATAAAATCCCAGCACTGGGGGAGCTCAGGGGGGAAGCCAGGAATTAGAGACTAGACTAGGCCGCCTTGTTAAGACTGTTTCAAACAAACAAAAAACAAAATAAAAACAGAAGAAAACTATCTTTTTCAAGTTCCTTCGACAAGACATTGAACTCCCTTCTCCCCACACCTCATTAAACTAATGACTGAGGAACAAAATCAAGGTGGGGGCGCGGGGGGCTGGTGTCTGCCCTTCACAGTCCTCCCACAAAACTGCAAGGTCCCATGAGAAGGCCTGGCCCCTAGGGAGAGAAAATAGGGACCCTAAGTCAGATGTATTTCTCTACGAGTCGCTGAGCTGGTATAGTGTGTGTGTGTGTGTGTGTGTGTGTTTGTCTGTCTGTCTGTCTGTCTGTCTGTCTTGTAGTGCTTGGGATGGAACCCAGGAGCTCGCTGAATTATACCAGAGAGTTGCAGCCCCAGTCCTGCAAGTCTGCTTCCCACAGCCTCAGCTCTTTGTTTCTTAGCAGACTCCTTACTCCTGCATGCATGCGGCGAGCAATCAGAGGTGTTCTGAAGACTCGGCACCGTTGTGTATTTTTAGGATAAAACTGTTTCCCCATCTAGCAATCTTACTGACTCTGATGTATGAGAATTTGCCCTTTGTTTTCTCTAAGTGTATAGATCTTGTAAATGACTGCTAATTCTATAAATAGAACTCTTCTTTGCCAAGCATGGAAGATGTAAGTATGAATATAACTGTGTTCGTGGGAAGCTTCTAGTCCCAAGTTTACTGGAAATTTGGGCGCATCTGGGTAGAGGTATCACATCACTGGGGAATTGATGGAAAACTAGGAACTGAAGAAGAGGGGAAGCTTTGGTAGTAAAATGTTAGGCAGCTGTGGGTGGGGCTCGGGGTGTGTGCCAAGTGTTGGGTCTGAATCCAAGCAGTGAGAAAGAATAGCATCCCTAGGAGCTGGTGGATAATTGAAAGATACTAGGGAAAGAATACGCTTTTTTTCAGCTGTCAGATAAATACTTGCTAAACATCTAGGCCACGAGGGCTAAAGAAATTAATGTAAATGATTACCAGGAAGGGTAAATGGGTTATAAAATTGAATACAAATGTAAGAAGAAAAATCGTCAGAAGAGAAGGTGGGATTTTCGTCTCTAAAAATGTGTGCTGAGAACTTTCCTGTGTGAGCAGTGCTGCTTCAGGGACCAAGACACACAAGACAAGATGCCTGCTAGTGAACTGTGTACGCTAATGACAGACATACACTAGTGAGGAAAACAGGAGATAAAGAATGTGATCACAAACCAGCATGGTGGCACACGCCTTTACCCCAGAACTCAGGAGGCAAAGACAGGCAGATCTCTGAGTTCAAGGTCAGTCTAGTCTACAGTGCAAGTTCTAGGACACCCAGGCCTACACAGAGAACCTCGGTGCTCCCCTCCCCCACCCCCCCCAAAAAAAATGAGATCATGGTGCAGCTCCCCAGAGCACTGTGAGCAGGGGTCAGAGAGTGCAGGGATGAAGCCTAGATTGGACGGTGGAAGGGTGGAGGGCAACCTGTGCAACAAACTCCTGTGGGGGGGCGGTGTTTCCTGTGTGTCTTAAAAACGTTGTCTCCCCTTGTCAGGGTGTCATGTTTTAGAACCAGGGCAACTGAACTGTGGAACAAAAAAGCTTTGAGACCATCTAATCAAATATATATATATTTGTGTGTGTGTGTGTGTGTGTGTGTGTGTGTGTGTGTGTTCAGTATATATAGCCAGTACATATTGCCACTTATCCTTATTGTGTCAATAAAAGTGTGGGAGCTAAAACCGTCCTCACTGAAATACAGAGTGGAGTCATGGTTACCAGAGCCTGAGCATGAGGAGAAGAGGAGGAAGGATGAGACGAAGGCGGCTGTTATGCAACACAAACAAATGAAGGCTGAGTTAGGGCTCAAGGTTAGAAGAGTCACGTCCTTAGCCTTTCCTTTTTTAATCCAGGGTGTTACACTCAGTCTCTGTGTTCTGAGCCCTGGGTCACACCTCTCACCGTAGACTCTTTCATGCCATCTTTCTTTCTAGTCTGTAAGTTCTAGAAGAAAAAGGCAGCAGGGAGAACCCCAGGCAATTGACAGGAGAAGCACTGAGCGCTAACATCTCAAAGAAGATACGGATCTGTATTTAGATACGGACTGGCTGGCCATTTCTTGAGAAGGTTTAATGTGCAC